GGGAGTTCATACTGCAACCCTTCCCCCCATCAGGGGGGAATATAGGTCTTTTTCCTACTTACCTAACAATAGTTTCGGAACTCACCAGAGTTCAATTATTGTTGTGACCTCCACCTGTCTGTTAAATTGGAAAACTGGCAAGTTAAAAAAATAATGATAAAGAAATATAGACTAATAGGCAGAGAGAAGCATGTTCATACACATACAAAAAGTTTTCTTAGTATATCAGGATAAAAATCAGGGCAATTAGTGGAAAAGAATAACATAATTTGAAGTACACATGATAAGGCATTTGGGATGATAAACAGAAACCAGAAGGCCTGAGCCCAAGTAAACATGATACAGAGTTGGCATCTACATGAGGCCGTGGTACACTCACGGTTGCCTTTTCATTTCTCTTGCATTCCCTCAGCGTCCAGCAAAAAGGGATTTGGGTATGTGCTCTGTCCCCCATTGCCAAAATGTAGAGCAGGGTCTCAGTATCTGGAGACACAGTTATTGAGAAGGCCACAAAAACTTAGCCACAGTAACTTTACAGAGCACCAGCAGAGAAATGTGAGGGAGTGATCAGGCAAGGCAGAAGCAGCTGAGCAGCCACAACCAACACAGGGTCTATGAACTAGGAATGATGAGAACTGGGGCATCTTAGCTGGGGCTCCATCCTGCTCCTGAGAGCCTGAGAAACCCTCCCTATTTTGCAAATACTACCACTATACCATGAGCTGAGTAGTAGAAATGCCATTTTGAGAATATTAACTTACCTGTGCTAAAAATCTAACAATAACATTTTAAGTTTTAAAAAAAAAACTAATTTCAGGTCACACTTAAAATTTAGAAGTTATAATAAAAGCATTTTCAGCATGTAGTATTAAAAATGTCAAGAATCAAATTAGGTTTTTATTTACATCTGTCACTGTGGTATGCACCACCATGTCCTGGGGATGCTTCAACACTCTCACACAACTGTTGCTGAACATCATGAGAAACCACGACAACATTTCAGTCTATGTACTCTGTCCCACTGGGGAAGAATTAAAATACAGTTGCTCTGGTTCTAACTCACATCAGATTTCACTCCTTCTGTAAATGAGTAAACAAAACTATATCAGTCTTGGCTGTTACATCAGTCAGCAGCTTAGATATTTCACAAGGGCCCCATACTTATAAATGAAGGCAAAAAGAAAAGCATATAAACTATCTGTCAGCTCTACTATCAAGAGAGCTAATTCAAGTTTCTCTGGTTTAGGGAGGTATTTTTGTATTTCCTAACATAAATAAACAAGACACAAGAAAACTCCACGTCCAAGTTTTGGTCTAGGCTCTTATGACAGTAGGCTATGTTCATGGATACTCAGTTTCAGCTCTCCACTTTCATCAATCCTGAGTGTCTATAGGAAACATTGTTTGTAATGATCCCCTTCAAACTTGACTGATGAAAGTGCACATTTTGCAAATGACACCTCAGCCAATCTGCCCCATCTGCATGAAAGACGGCAAATGATTTCACTCTTTAGGCATTCAAAATAAAATGCACATGCGGCAAATTCCAAGCTGGCAGGAAAATCCAGTCATTAAAAAAGTGATTTGTTTTCTACATTTGCAAACACAAATGCTCCATTTATCTCCATTGCCATAAAGAAAATGAACTGTTATATTTTTTTAAACAATCATAGCCAGCACATTTTGGAAATGTTTTCATTTCAAAAATACTAACTAGCAAATTAGAGTTTAAATAGCTTTTCTAAAGTGGTACCATTTTAGATACAGTTTTCTGATTCATGGCATCACTTTGCCCTGAGGGAACAGGTTTTACTGTCTTCTGTATACTGTAGTGATGCCTGTTTGTTGCTGGAGTAACTAAATTAAAGAAGAGATCTAAACTACATGAATTTTAAATAAAATTATATTCATTAACAAGAAGATGTATTTTACACTATGGAAGCCTGAAAAAAAAAAAATACACATTTCTTTTAAAATTAGAAATTTATGATCTCTGTCCTTCTATTTTTCCCTCTTTCTCTCCATAATAAAGGAAACAGAACAGCAAGTAAAGAAAATAGCAAACATAATTGATATAACCCCATCCTAAGAAAGCTTATAAACATGCTTAACTCTACACAGACTGAATTGCTTAATTGAACTCACTGGGACCACTCCCAGTGCAAAAATGTGAGCATGTGTGCAATCTTTTCCAGAATCAGGATATATGTAAAGGTGATCTGTAATGAAAATAAAACTACTCGGTTTTTTTCCCCAAGTTTCTTAATCACTATTTATTTTTGTGGCTATAGCAACATCTGGTGGACAAATACCAAAATATAAAGGCTGTGCACTTCCATCATATGATATAAATATATGCATTTTAAAATACAGCTCTACTTACTCGCTTTTGGTTTTAAGAAGTTTATGAGAAAAAACAATTTCACTTAAATAATTCTTGATAACTTTATAGTTATTATGTCTCTTATGAAATGCTTTATATTCTTAACCAAAAGTGGTCAAGGCCTCTTTGTTTCATAACATACCAAAATACTACCTTTTCCTCTCCCATCTTACCTCTCAAGCAAGTGCTTGCCTACTGTGAAGTGCTGGTCATGGAGTATCCATGTATACTGGCCCACTTTGACAACAGCACACAAATACCTCACAAATGCTAAGGGTGCACATTTAAGCAGTCAAAAAATAGGATCTATCATAAATGAAGCTGTAAAGTTAACAGAGAGTTAAGAAAACAATAAAGAACCCCTGCAGATTTACTGTCCACAGAATCAAAGCCTAAAAAGAACTCAAAATAAAACCCCAAAATAACCAAAACACCAAAGGGCAAGTTAGCATGCAAGGGGGGCTGAGTAATCAGCATGCTGACAGACTTTCTTTTTGATTCACTCATTTCCTCTGTGCTTTCTTCTAATTCCTACAGAATTGATCCCTCATTTTTCATATTCCCTTTTACTAAAATTTTTGCCTTATAGGCATATTTGTTTAGAAGCAGCAAAAAAAAGTATTTAACGATAAAATGAGAGTCAATTAGAATTATATTTGCTAAAACTGCTCAATGCTGAGGTTAGCTTGAATTAATTTCCAAAGGGCTGGAGACATGAGAACGTAGAACAAAACATGAATATATTGACTAAGCCATTGTATCTCCCACCAAACACAAGGAAGAAAGTAACTAAGGAACAACCATTTTATTATTGGTTGTAGTCTGGCTAGTGTCTCAATCTCATATTTGGAAATCTGGATCTTCTCTGGTCCTTCACATAAGAGTAAAATGTGCGGGACCTTCACAACTTGACTAGACACAAGACTTTGCTAATGCAATACTTCCCTGATTGCAGCTTCATGAAGAGACCAGAAGTGGTCAGCAAGCTAGCTGTCCATCACAGCCTGCATCTTTCCCTTTTTTTTTTTTTTTTTTTTCTTTCCAGTTTTTACTGTAAGAACTAATTGCAAGATGCAAGTTCGGGGAATGCTAATAAATCAATAGTCACATACTATCTACTACAGCAACATGCTGCTTCAAGTTATCCACTTCCCAAACACTGATCAAGGAAAATGACTGTCTTTCACTGACAAACTGTAACATATAAAGATACTAGCAAGAAAGTAGCATGGCACAGACACAAAAAAAAACCCTATTCTGTACTTACACACCAGCAGCTTGATTCACGTTTGGTTTTGCTGACAAGCCCATTCCTCCTCCTAACCACCTTCTCCCCAAAGCTACAAAGTGGGGGACTTGCAAAAACTCCTGAAATTACAATACTGTTGCTTTCATTTTACACAGCAGGTGCAACCACTCCAGCTTCACAGATAAAAATATGGGGTTAGTCATGTTATGCTGGAAATCGAAAGCATTTTGGTGAGAAGTAGCAGGGTCCTAATCCAATCAAAGAACCTGTGAAGACACCTGCAGTCATCCACAAACTCCAGGGTCATCCACTGGGACATTACACATGCAGAGTTTGATCACCTGGCCATGATTTCAGTGATTTTAAAAGCCTTGACATAACCATGTATAAGACTCTTACTTCTTACTTGTAGAAGAGACCTCTGAGACGCTGAGAACTTGCAAGCAGAAAGAGGTAATGAAATCAGTAACCAAAAAGCAAGCAATCCAATGCAAGCATCCCTGTATGCATATATATACAACAAGATTTGATAGGAATGTTATCTTTAATTTGACCAGCTAATAAAAACAGCAGACAACCTTTTTGGTCACAGAACCCCTTCCATTAACGTGAAGTAGAAACAACAGACTAAACAGAAATTAATTGGGAGTCTAATCACACAAGTAGTGACTGGCAAGGCTGTTCCCCAGAGAAGAAGGAATAGTGGTACCTGTTGAGAAGCTAAGCTAACTGTGTGAGAGCAAGGTGGCTGTACCCCTAGAGGAAAGCCTCAGGTAGATTTTACCCTGTGGAATACGAAGCATCTAACAGGATAGGACAAATCGTCAAGAACTTCATTTTGCCCCTAGCTTGGCGCACTAGTTGACTTACAAGCTTCATTTTCCCAATTTGTCTTCACGGGCTTCGCCTGTAGTTTTTGTTGCTGCATCAGCACAGCCCGCTGCTCTTGGCGGAGGGGACGGGTCCCAGGGCTCTGCGGCGCGTCCGTTACATGTGCTTTTAAACACACACCAGAACAGGTTGCTACCGCATGCCGGAGGGAAGCTTGGGCTCGTCACTCCTCAGCGCTGGGGGCCTGCAGTCCTGCAAAGCGCTAAAGCAACCAGTGAAGCCAACACAGACTTAGAAAGGGAAGGTGAATGGAGACATGCTCTTAAACGTAATTTTAAACTTTTCTTGGTTTATTCCCGCCTCAACTTCAGCGCCCAGGGCCCGCTCCCTGCGCTGAGGGAAGGCGGACCGCCCGCCGCCTCGCTGGCCATGGCGCATGCGCGCACCGACACGCCCCACAGGCGGCAGCGGGCTCGAGCTCCGTAAGGAGCGGGACGAAGGCGGAGGAAGGTTGGTGCTCCAGGGCTTCCGTCCTGCGGCGGGGCGTGGCCGTGCCTGTACTTCCGCGCTTGCCCGTAGTCCGACATGGCGGAGTATTCTTGCGTTAAATCTACCAAGTTAGTCCTCAAAGGGGCGAAAGAGAAAAGGTGAGGACCGAGTTGCTTGCTGCTGTCGCCTCTGCCCTGGGCTCCGTGCCTGGGCTGCTGCGGCAGCCGCTGTGCTGCCAGCTCGACGGTGCTTGGGGCCGCGGACGCCGGCCGGGCTCCCCTCGCTGCGTTGGGGTCGCGTCGGATGCTGGATGGAGCTTAGGCCAGGCCGTCCCGTCCCGTCCCTCCGGCTGCGCGTGTGCCTGGGCAACGCCGGCCAGGGCAAGGGTTGTCGGGTTGTCAGCCCCTTGCTCCTGGCTGGTGTCACTGGCCCGCTCCCGTGGGGCTTGGGAGCGAGGCTGTGCGAGAAAGCCCGCTGTAGAAGAGCCGGTTGGATGCACGTTCTTATTTCTCTGCGTCTCCCTTTGCAGCAAGAAAAAGCACAAGGAGAAGAAAAGGAAAAGGGAAGAGGAGGCGGCAGAGCAACTTGATATTGTTGGTGAGCTGCTTTCCAGGAATTATGGAAACTATAGTGGGCAGCACAAGCTGAAGAGATTGTTATGGTACTTTGTAAACCAAGTATAGTCCCTGTAGAGATTAATAACTCTTTCTCACAGCATGTTGTTTGTACGTTGGGATCTTCCTAGACTCCGCGTGGAACTTCTAACACTGATGTGTCGCCACTTATTTTAATTAAAGTATGTTCTTATATAATGTCATCTTGGATTTTTTTTTTCCTTAACGATGTTTACTTTAGGAAGATAAACTTTTTAGCACTGTAATGTTATATAATGATTGCATTTCTATGTAAACAATTCACATCTTCTGTTACCATTACTTTTATTATTAGCACACGTTACCAGATAAATGTAATTTTCTATTATGTGTATATATGCATAAGCTAGAGCAGTGCAACAGGAAGTCATACTTGTTGCTGTGTTAAAAGAAATTAGGATATGTGAGAAAATGGGCTGTTCTGGCTTAAACTAGAATAACGTCACAGATGTTTTGTATTCTTCAGTTTAGCCAGGTTTCAGAGTGGGAGGTTTTGAAAATTCATGCATGGATTTTTGATCCCTGATTGTATAGGACAAGATGATTAGTTCCACGGGTTTTGTAAAGATAGGGGAAGATTTACTTCTGCTTGAGGCAGAATTGCCAAATTTACCATGTGGAAAAAAGACGTGTACAGGTTAATTAAAAGTAGTTATTATCCTAATCATATAAAACAGTATACCAGGAGAAGATTTGCTGTTTAAAAAAAAATACAAACGTCATAATGTTAAATCATGCATATGGGTTGGGCTACCTTTAACTTTGGTAGAATTCTGTGGGGCTCAAATGTTCAAACACAGATTGGCTTGAACAACTGAAGTCTAAAGATCACACCTCACATGAAGTAATTTAACAGAAAGGTGAGACAGTTTATTTGTTTCTGTTCTGTTGGAAAATCTAGGAATTAGATATGACCCCAAAAGTGCAGGAGGCTGGTTCAGAGGAAGGAAAAACAGCCCCAACCTTCCTTGAAAGGTGTGTCCTTGCTGCATCAGCTGAATGGATCAATTTGCTCTATGGACTAATGTAAAGAAGCGTAGGAGCCTGTAACGAGGGATGGCAGGGTGGGTAGAACAGCAGGACTTACTGATTCAGCAGCAACAGCATTAAATTGTTTCTATATTATGAAATAATGCACAAAGATCTTGAAATAGCAATAGCAATTGTATCTTTAGAATTTCAAATCTCAGAGAAGACACAGAAGTATCGTCTCTTCAACTACTGTAATCAGAAGTTGTAATTACTCTTATTAACTGTCATGGTTTTGTATTTTAGGAAACTGGTGGGCTATCAGTAACTTCGGTGAAATTACAGGAACTATAGCTATAGAAATGGATAAAGGAGCTTACATCCATGCCCTCGACAATGGCTTGTTTACTCTTGGAGCGCCACATAAAGGTTTGTTTCGGGAAATTTGGAAAGAAGCAGTTTTAGTAATGGAAGGCGTAAAAGTAGTATCTCTTAAAGGCAAGCAGTTCTATAGCTTGAAACAGTTTATTACAAATAATGCAGTAATCCTAGTAGTAGCATGCAGATGACTTAAACCTAATGACTACTAGTCAGTTTCACTTAATCTAGTTTCTTGCTGGTTTATGTGTGCAGTAAATTGAAATGCATTGGAGACTATCACCTGTTAAAGGCCATACCACTTATTGGATAAACAGCAGTATAACTTTTATTAAATCCTATAAAATCTTTATGGTGTTAGTTGAAGAATGAAATTCAAGGCACATCGGTTTCAAGGCTTATTGCTGCATCCTTATCTTAATTACTTGTTTTGTTGCTGTGCAAGTGGGCTACTAACATGATGGGACAATGAGCTTATCCTTGCTTTGAATTTGAGAGCCATCAGTTAGACAAGGACTGTTGCAGAATCCTGACTCTGTGTTTCACTTCCAGGGTGAGATCAAAGCAACGATGGACTATTATCTCATTTTGGTTTTGACAGATGGAGAGGCTAGTAGCTTTTAGGATATTGAGTTGTGTTACCATAGCTGAACTGTAATATATTTTGTTACAGAAAAAATAACATTAACAAGGAGACTTAAGGTTTTCAAAGCCACCCGGAGAACATTCTCAATCCTTGTACAAAGAAATTTACAGTTGTCATTCTTTTGTATCTTGTTTTAAGCACTCTAAATATTTGAATTTAAATGAGTACCTGCATTGCTTTTTCACAAGTGAATATTCAAAAAAGGAATTTTTAAAGAAATGAAGTATTGCAGCTTTTTATAGTATTTATCAATGTCTGGAGTTTAATTCTTTGTGAAACTACAGCATTAACAGGCTAAAACATTGTATGTTAAATATTTCACACGTAACTAATGGAAAATTCATTCCTCAGATGATGAAGGCCCTAGTCCTCCTGAGCAGTTTACAGCAGTAAAGTTGTCTGATACAAGGTAATTTGTGTAACAATGTTACAAGTTTTCTTTCTGGTGTGAATACCTTTTTAATATTCTCTTGAAATTCATTGTTTGCTAATAAAGTGTTTGTGTTGAATATTGTAAATTGCTTGAGTTAAAAACATTTGTTATTGCTTTCCTGCATTTTCTCATGGAGGATTGCTCTGAAGTCCGGTTATGGCAAATACCTTGGTATAAATTCAGATGGACTTGTTGTTGGACGTTCAGATGCAATAGGATCAAGAGAGCAATGGGAACCTGTCTTCCAAGATGTAAGCTGTTTGGAATAGTTCATTTGGTGTTCCTAGCATTTGGCTGTATTTTGAGTTAATCTATATTGATATTCTTTGTCTGTGGAGTAAAAGCCTTTTGCAGTCTCCTCCATACTGTAACTTTTAATCTTCTGTTTTCCCAACTGCAATGCCTTTACTATAACTGAAAGTTCTTAAAATCCTTCAAGTTACTGCATTTTGGCAGCTGTAAGCATCTTAGGAATGAAGGAGCCAGCAAGTCTGCTGTGTCTGTATATAAAAGAATAAAATGCATTTACAGAATTTTTTGGTTTATTGTAGAGGATAAATGTTATGAATTGAAGATTATATACAAACTCTTTATACTACAATATGTGATACTGTTTCTGCAGAAGAAAATGGCATTGCTAGCAGCAAATAGCCGTTTCATTAGATGTAATGAAGAAGGAGACATAGAAGCCAAAAGCAAAACTGCGGGGGAAGAAGAAATGATAAAGGTAACCTATAACTTTTACAGTTGATACAGGCTTGGCACAGATGCTCAAAAAAACTAGGTATCTTTGTGCTACAATTTATTGTTAATACCATTGTAACAGCTTTCTATAAGCTGTCAAGTGATTTGATCACAAGAAATGTAAATGAGCTCCAGGGCTGCATAAACTGAAATGCTTCCAATACAAACAGGAAGATATTTTACCACTACAGAAGGGCAAGATGCTGGGGGACAAGACAGTCTACATGGTAGTGTAAATAGTTCAGAACAGCTTGGTGTGGAAGAGATGAATCATGATTGAAGCAGGGACGAAGAGTTTACCAGAATGGTGCAGGAGGGGAGAACTTTTAAGTAAGAAAATGTAAACAGACTGTCTTGACTTCATCTGGACATGGAAAATACAGGTGTGCCTCCAAATAGAGATAGGTGTCTACTAGTCTGAGCAACAATATTTTTAAGTCAGTCTCTGGAAAAAGTCCTTTTACCCCTGCTAAAACTAAGAACTCTAATGGTGCTTCTTTGAGATGAAGGTGATTATGTCTTACAGTAGTATCAAGGATTACACTTAATATTTACCATACTTCAGGTAGCTCTTGCTTCTGTTGCAGTTGTCTCCAGTTGTGAATTAACCAGCTTGAAAGCTTTGAATTTAAAAAGTCACTGTGAGTCTCATTCTTTTATGAAGAATGTTGTTGTCTTTAACCTATAACTTCTGGCTTTAAAAATACAGATGTTTTCTAGTTTGTTTTTTTCTTTCAATTACTAGATTCGTACTTGTGCGGAAAGAGAAACTAAGAAGAAAGATGACGTTCCACAAGAAGACAAAGGCAATGTTAAACAGTGTGAAATCAATTATGTGTATGTAGTTTAGAGCTGTAACAGGCTCGATTACCTTTTTTCACTTTTCTTTAGTGTTGTCTTTGGTGCAAGGGCCGAACTCTCACCCAGCCTTTCACTCACCTTCCCCTCAGCAGGATAAGGGAAGAAAATGGGATGAGAAAGCTTATGGATTGAGATAAAGACAGGAAGATTGCATACCAGCTACCCTCACAGTCAAAACAGACTTAACTTGTGGAAAATTAATTAAATTTATTGCCTACTAAAGTAGACTTGGGTAGTGAGAAACAAAGACAAAAATTAAAAACATCACCTTTTCTTCCATCTGCCAACCTCAGGTTCACTCCAGATTCCTCTACCTGTTTCCCCAAGCAGGATGGGGGTATGGGTCAATACATGGTGGTTTCTCTTTGCCACTTGTTTCCTCTCCCACTTTTCACCTGCTCTGGCATGGTCCTCTCCATGAGCTGAAAGGGAATATCTGCTGTAGCACCTGAAGCACCTCTCCCTTCTTCTTCCCTGTCCTTGATATTCAAACTGCCATTTTGCTTTTTTTTTTTTTTCCTCTGCCACTGTGGCATTTTGCCCTTTCTTAAATATGTTTTCAGAGGTGCCATCAGTTTTGCTCAGCGACTCAGCCATGTCCTGCAGTGGTCCATTGTAGAGTCAGCTACATCCAGCGCAGGGCAGCCCCTGGCCTCTTCACACAGAGCCCACCCCTGCAGCTCCTCCACTACTGCTACCTTGTCACCTACACCCAATACACTTTTGCTCCCTGATTTGGCATGCTAGTAGCTGAGGAAGGGGCTCTTTAGAACTTGTAACCATGGCATGCTAAACATGTAGGGGCTCATTTCCAAATGCCAAAAAAAACTCTGAATAGTTTTCACTTACAGAAGTCTTGGTGCAATATATGATACTGTGATGGTTTGCTGGATTTTATTAGGCCACTTGTCTACTGCATACTAGAAGTTATGATTCTTAACATCGTTGTTGTTTTAGTGAAACACAAAACTTTAAAGAACTTACACTTTTTAACATTTTCTTTCTTCCCCTTACAGAAAGAAATTCCAAAGTTTTCAAGACAAAAAGCTTAAAATAAGCAAAGAAGATACAAAAGCCCTCAGAAAAGCCAGGAAAGAGGGCACTTTTCATGAAATGTTGCTTGACAGGTACTTCTAAGTACAAGAAATAATATATTGATTTAAAAACCACTGGGAGATGGGATTACAGTAAGCCTGAGTTATGAGAGAGAGAGATTTCAGTGGACTGGAGTGTTGAGCATTTCCTCTCTGGTCAGTGTTATCCATGAGTTCTGGGGTTGTCTTTTTTTTTTTTTTTTAATTCTGAATTTCCACTTATTTAGTTGAAGTTTGCAAGTTTGGATTTACTCAGAAATTAATTCTTTTGGAAGTCTTTAACTAGGTTGTTGTTTGTTTTGTACAGAGGAGTTGAAGGCTGAATCTTTTTAATCACAAATTAAGTTAATTTTTGACATTTTCAATACCTATGGCACGAGAAGATTTTGGAGAGGGGAAAGCTGCATTTTTAAAGAGAAATAGCATTTACTAAGAATAATTTTCATGTTATTTAGTGGGGATATATTTATTTTTTTCTGCCTGAGCTGAGACTATAGAAACTGTCTTCAATTTTAAAACATTTTTGTATACAGTATAAATATTTGCATTAATTCAGTGGGTGGAATGCAGAAGACTATTTCTGATAATTGCAAGTGATGTGAGAACACTCCTGGACCATCACAGGTCGAGTGTCATTTTTAAATCACACTGAAATGGAATTCTGTTTCTCAGTGGACAAAATGGAATTCATGATGATTTGAAGGGAGAGACAAGGTTAACTTCAGACATTGCGGTTTTAGCTCCATAAGAAAACAAAATTAACAAATACAAAGTGTTGTTCAGCTTTTATATTTGCTTTGAAGTAAAGTTTAAGAAAAATTGCTTTCAATGCTTCCTTAACACTTTGAGGCAGATAAAACACGCAGGTGTAATCTTACTTGGTATTAATCTTGTGTCATTACTCTTTCCATATAGGAGAGCAAAAGTGAAAGCGGATAGATACTGCAAGTGACAACCAGCTGGTCCATTTTCTTCTGCATCTTTGATCATAGGGTCAAACTGAAAACAAGAGTAAAATGTTTTATAGTTATTTTATTGAAGGTGTTCTACTGAAGTTTTTATTACATTATTTTTAAAGGATCATCTGAGAGCCGTAATGAAGCTTCAAACTGATGTTATCTTTCAGTAATGAATACTATTAAGCTTACTCTAGACCTACACACTATTTGAAATAGTGAGATAATTATTTAATGGAAAACAATTTGACCCACTGAATCTTTCAAGGTTGATGAAAGGAACCTGAGCTTAGAGACAGGACAGAAGAGAACAGCTATGAAGTTCAAAAGTAGAATATGTTAATACAATGAACCATTAAGAAATATGTAACTGTATTGAACAAGAAGAAATAATTGAAAATGCATGTCTTGGAACATATCCTACCAGATCCTGAACAGGACATGGGCAGAGCCATTCTACACTGCATCAGGTGAGCGCTGGGCTGGAATATTCAGGCTTCATAAAACAATGTTCAGAACAGACCCACAGTTAAAGCTGATAAATGGCATAATCCATATGCTGGAAAAAAAAGTGTTGAGAAGTTCTAAGAACCCTGTTACAAATGAAAATGCAGGTGCTTTGTAAGAAAAGGGGATGGCTCTTTTGTGTTAGCAGGCCACGTATTTGGCAAGAGAGAAAAATCGATTTTGCAAATCTGTTTGTTTCTTTATGGCATGGACTTTAATAAAACAGCAGGGACTCTTTTTTTTTTTTTTTTTAAGGTCACAGTATAATATGCATTCCTAGTATCTCATAAAATATGGTTACCCCCGTCTGCTCTGATTACCAAGAAACTTTTCAGTAGCAACATCTCCACAGGAACTATCTCAGTCAGAACAATTGCTTACTCTCTCCACAGCTTCTGTAATCTGCATCATAAAGATTATGTGGTAACAGTGTTGAGGAATTCTATTGTAATAATTTAAATTGTCTCCATGGACCTTCTCCTAGCTGTCAATTTGAACTGCACACAAGCTTGCAGACTGTAAGCTTATGCAAGATAATGATGTGTCTAAAAAGAGCCCAAGAAAGGACCAATAAGATATAGTCAGTATTGGCAGTTTAAATCTCTCCAATTTCATAGGCAGTTGGTCTTGAAGCACAGAGAATTTAAGTACATCATAATTGTTTAAGCCCTCCAGTAACTTTTCAGCATGAAAAGTAGTTATAGCTGGTTAGGAAAGGCTAGCTGAGGTTAGCAATAAGGCATTTATTTTTCAAGAATTTTAGCAAAATAAGGATATAGCCAATACAGATTTTATGGAACTATAACAAGAAAAATCACAGGCTGGGCCCATTCATGATGTAACATAAGAATTCTTAGAAACTTTTTTTGCTTCCAGGAAAGCAAACAAAAATCCATACCTTTCTCTGATGCCATTCCATACCCAGCTCTATCCAGCGGAGTACAGAGATTTTTGCCACAGGGCTTTTCCCTCCAAGGTAGTAGAACTTACTTGTTCTATATCTGTTAAACCTGCTGTTCATTTAATATGTATTTTACAAGAACAGGCATTCTCACTAGTTCCTGGTTTGAATAGCTGTTTTGGAATGAATGCCTTTTCTTCCCACTTCAGCTTTATATGCTGAGGTTGATACTAAATGAGATCAAAATGCCCCCTCTGGGGAGTGGTTTGTGTGACTATATTGGGGTAGTTATGCTTGTAACTTTGTTCTGTGGCCAAATCTGTGCAAAACTTCTTATTCTAGCTGCTCCATAAGATTTTGTATTTTAATTCTGATAGAAGTTCTACTAGATTGTAGAGAAAATAAATAGAAGCAAGATCTGTGCTGAATTTTAAAAATTACTGCAATGAAATTATCAAATGAGAATTTTTCCCTCCATTTTTATGGGAACAAAAAACTCCTCTGTAGCTGTTTTTTAGACTTAAATGATCTTCTTATGGGGGAAAAGACAATTCTCATTTATCTATCACTTACGTAGTTACATTGCAGAACATATAACAAAAAGAGAATATTACCTGTTTATGTAAACTGATCAAATGCTTACCCTTTTTACCAGTATCAACAGTTTCATTTTAAAATTTTCATAGATTTAGGTTCTAGTACAAAACTTTGAGTTTACTCTTTAAGCTTACCACATAGCAGGAATGACTGAAAATTATCTTTTATTTCCCATCACTTTCTATTAATTACACATTCTTTCAAAGCAAGCAGTTGCCGGGAATACCAGCATGTTTGTAGTGAGACTCTGCATTAAAACATTTGCAGAAAGAAGCTAATAAGCAGGACTGATCTTTGATTCTATTTTTTAAGTATCTCCAGAATTAAAATTCCCTCATATATCAATAACCCAGTTACACAATCTTACTAACTGTATCACTTGTGAATATTTGGCTTGCATTAAGGGAACAGCTCCAAGAAAAATTAAAGGTATATGTACTAATGGCAAGCTATTCGTCATATAGCTTAAGCCCTGGGAGACAAACTGTAGCAATGATGTAGACCAGAGAGAAAGCTCCCTGATTTTTAGTGGTCTTGAGAGAAAATAGTTGACTTTTCCAGAGAACTCTGTATATAACCTGATTGCTGTCAAATAAAGATAGACATCCTGTCAAAGAGAGCCACCATGCAGGTGTAGTGTGTGGCTGGCTTTTTACCAATAGCAGAAATGGTCAAGCAGGTGAAGTTGATTTGTATATGTAGCTTAGATGCTTTTGGATCACAGTGTGTGCCTGTATGCTCTGTGACTCAATTCTTGTGAAGAAGAGGGCTATGCTGCCTTTTCCATGGCAAGTATTTTAAGTTCCTGTATTGTTGGAGAAGGTGCATTGCACATGCCCAGGAGATCTGAGAGAAGTGTGAGCGCTGAATTTGTGGGGAGAGGGCCAAAAGCTGGAAATAAATAGGTGATTGTTGGTGAATGCTCCTGGCCAGAGTCTGAGGAATTCTTGGGTGAAAATGCACCATAGCTGTGGGTTGTACCATCACAGGAAAAAATGTAATTCATTTTTTCCCAGAGCTCTTCAGTCTGGTCTAGGACAGGGGATTAGGGCTCATTAAGTAGTTCCAGTTGTAGGTACCATGCTTCGTGTCCATCCCCAGAAATGTAACCTGACGAACAATCATTGCAATGTCATGGACTTGGAAGTGGCCTACTGCCAAAACACTAGGAAAGGGGCAGCACCACAAGGAGCAGGCTGTGGGCCAGAATAATTATTGGGGAGTTCATTGCAGGTGTCACTGATGGACAGTCACTGTGAATCTTAAACACAGCTGAAGTGAATGCTGGTGGTTGAAGTAGACTGATGTTACAGCATCTGTTTTCCCTCCTGAGAATATAAATAAAATCATGTCTGATAGAACTCATAAAAATGATTACTCAAACACAGATGCACCTGGAAGCAGGAATCTGCTATACTGGTGGAAAGGGTGCTGAAGGGAGTACTTGGAATCTGAAAAAGACCCTGAGAACTATCTGTGGAAAGGAAATAAATCCACTCCATCTTTATCAATGTAAATAGGAGAATGCAAGGTGTAGACACTGTTAAGTAGTTGTGATAGTAAAGGAAAAATGGAATTGAGAGGCATGTTTGGTACAGACCTAGGAATAAATGAAACCAGAATAAATGTCAGAGAAAATGAAATGAGACTGTCCCAAGGAGGGGTTGGATTCCCCTTCCAAGAGGAAGTAGTGGATTTGGCAAGGGACTGGCAGCCCTGCGGGGAACAAGGATGTTGTAGGAGCAGTGGGCTTGCCTTCTGTGTTGGAACTAACAATACATTAGATTCTTGCTGAAAAATGTGTGCCGAGATAACACAGAAGCAGAGGTCTGGGGAATTCACCTGAATTTGAGTTCCAGGAAAAGAAAATTAAAGGTATGACAAAGCAGTGAAGATAAGTGAGTTAAACTGTTGCTATAAGGAGTCCACTGGATATTTTCCCATTTGAGGTATTCATGGGGTCTTCTTGGTGATACTGTGTCCTCGCAGTTAAGCGCAAAGAGCTTTAATTTAAGTGAAACAGAGAAAAGGGAAAGTAATATGTGCAGCCTCTACTCTGGAAGAAAGAACAGATCTGGGGTATGATAATACAGTACTGGATAGATGAGTATGAAAACACAAGGGTGGATGTTAACTACTAGTTATCAGTGACACTAGCTGTCAGGTACTGCAGTTAATGAGGAAACGGCACATCTTAAGAACCATTTTTCTTCTGACTTAACATAGCTTTTTGAAAACTGACAGAAGAAACCTAGACAACAAAATGGAGAGCCTAAGGTACTGGTGTGGACCCTGCCGACAAGGTGTCTTTATGAGAACACAGCAGAATAGCCATAGTCAGAAAAATACGGGTACTGGAGGATGTTAACTATTCCTTAAACTGAGAATTTTTTTACTGATGAAAGAAAACCAGAAGTACAAAGAGGCTTCAGACAAGTAAGTTGTGGAGGTATGATGTGATGATGGCATAATTTTGTCTTCAGAGCATTCAGAAAGTTTTTCATTTTCCAAAGTTTTCCTTGATTTTCTACTGTTAAAAATGTCCTAAAAATAATAAAGCATCTAGAGAAAGATAGTCAACCACCTAAAAGCTGTCTCTTCTAGAAATAAAAGCTGAGCAAAAGGGGTTGCAGATGTTTAGAAAATAACAGGACCAACTTAATCTATTTCTTACTGTAGATCATAATAGTATGTTCAGATATCTGCAAGTAAATACACAATTACTGTCTTCCAGGTGTTTGTCTGGGCCCTATAGAAACCACCTGATTTCCTATTTGTGAAAGACGCTCCCATTAAAATCTTGAGATTTCTCCTGCTGTGCTGTAATTTTCCTCATTGCCTAAATCCCCTGATTGGTTCTGTATCTTCTTGCAGCTGTGCTTAAACACTTTTCTGCCTTGGTCTCCAAAGCTCTGTGCAATTTCAAGTTTACGGTCTGGCTGGTTCCTTCCTACGCACTACTTGCACACCCTCTTTTTGCCCAAGGCTTTCACAGCTTACAATGCATTTCTTTTATCCTTGGGCTGGCGAGGCTCCGGAGCGCCGGGTGAGTGTGGAGGGAGTTGGCCGCCGTGCCGCTCTTCCCCACGCAGGGGCCCAGTGTGCTTTTAAATTCACGCGTGTGAATTTAAGGTAGCGTCTCGCTGCCCTCACGGACTTGGTGACTTTTAAACGGCTCGTCTAGCAACCGGCGTAGCCGCGGTTACAAGTCTTGATGTTTATCTGGTGTGTTTTACAAGTCCCTGCTCGTTCCTGCGTTCAGTTTCACACACATCTATAATGTAAATATTGTGATGTTACACCAAAGCAGTAGTTTTTCAAAAGGGAAGTTAAGAAGGCATAGCTAAAAGTACGTATGCTTTTGAATCTGCTTAGTGTATTCGATAGAGCTTCACCCAAGGGGACAAGTGTAGAGCAGGTGGGCTTGGGGGTGGGTGCTTTTTTTTTTTTTTTTTTAAACTGAATGGGTGAATATTTAACTTCTGGTGGAATTGTGAATTTGAAGGTGGGGAGTTACTTGGAACAGGCTGGCTTCCACCTCCTGGGCATGTAAACAGCTGTTCTTGCTTCCTGATGAATTTTTTATTCCTGAAGCAGCAAAGCAGTCTTGCATTTCTTCAGTTTCTGAATCTCCCCATCTTCTGTGAAGAGGACAGGTTTTTAAATATCTCTGGATTTCAAAATATTCTTTTGCAATTTATTTTAAAATAGTTTGGGAACGTACTGCTTCCTATATTCTTTCATGTTTGCTCTAAGACTTTTCCTAGTAAATTCTATTGTTTTCGGGAAAATGACCATGGGTTTTGGGAGAGGGGAAACTGCAGGAAAGGCTTTGGAGGACTGTGGACATTTGTATGACCCATGTTCCCTTAGCATCCTGCCTATGCAGAATTAGGCCCTCTTCTGTGCACCCCATCCCATCTTTCCCTCTAAGAGCAGTTTTCCAATACTATAAGCCAACTTTAGCTTAAAACACCTTCAGAATTTTAGCCAAAAGCTTCCTGGGGTGTGGAGTGGGGAAGAAAGTGCCATCTATCAGCAAAGTCTATCAGTAGAGCTTGATTTTGCTTGGTACATCTTCACGCTTGCACAGGATCCACTGGGTGTCCAGGTTGCATGTTGTGCTGCTGTGCAGCCAGATATCAGGCTCATATATTTTATTTTGGGTTGAGGTGCTGGGGTGCATCATTGTTCATTCTTCAGCAAATGATTGTTGTTTTCCTTCATACAGCTGGTTGGGTTCTTTTTGTTAACAGAGAACATAGATGCTAAATGCCATGAATTACATCTCAGTGGTGCAGACTGTCAGTCCATTTAGCTTTCACATAGGCCTCTTTGATCATACTGAGCTTTTTGTCCAAACTCTAATTTAAATTGGCTTGATCCCAATTTCTTCAGCACTGCAAGAGTACTTTTTATTTCCATGTTCAGAAAGGTGAGCAGAGTTGGGGATGCTGCAGCACAACAGAATGCTGCATTGGCATTGTCCCGTAAGGAAGAAAAATGTGTTGGACCATAGGGTTCATAGACCAGAAAATGCTGAATATAATAGATTACTTTGTCTGAAAGAGCTTGATTGCCACGTTCTTAAACTGTAGAATCCTGTTTCATAGCTCAAAGAGGTCATTTGATATTTATTAATATGAAGATGAGAAACACTGAATACTAAAGAAGGATGCCAGTGATGGTCCCCCTCAAAAATACCTTTGAGGGTAATAAAGAAAGTGCTGGCATTCTTTAGACTGGACAAACTGCATTCAGCCTATTTCATATTGATGAAAGCAGGCTAGGTTTTAAAATATTTACTCAGCAGTCATTAAACCATGCATTAATTTTCAACCTATGAGTAACAGGCAGTTTAAAACAAAACAAAACAAAAAGGAGCATTTAATCAGCATTCAAGAATAGCTGTAGTCCTCCTAGGGAGTTCAGTGCATGTTTGCAAAGGAAATTTATAGTGATGACGTCCTGTTTGGAGCCAGCTTCTGTTGGCTTTTTCTAGGAGACTACCTCTGGTTTGTCATGTTGGAAATTCAGGGCAGTCTTTGCATGCTGGAAGGCTACTCCTGCTTTGCTCAGAGAGCATTTATTGTTCCTCTTTCAGTGTCAAGGCTCTGCAGAGGGGAGGATCTCGCTGACCACAGCAGTAACTTCATAGCTGCTTATTTCAGTCTGGTGATAGTGCCTGGTGGTTTTGCTGTTGCTGTAAGAAAATTCTTTAGGTGTCTTTTTTTCTTTTTACCTTGTCATAAAAGTTTGCAGTTAGTCTTTAGCTGATTGCAGAAGGTAAGAATTTTGTCTTACTCATTAGAACTTTGTGTAAAAAAAAAAAAAAAAAAAAACAAAAAATACCACTGCTAGTTTTCTGGTTGTCTTGACATCTTTTTAAATTACTGCTTGTATGCCAACATACAATAGTTTACCTAAAGAAATTGTTAATAATCTTGACTTTCTTCAGATGTCTCGGTGCTAGCAGTTTTGGAAGATGTACAGGTTGTTTTGAGGATTATTGGTTTCTTTAGCTTGCTTTATACATAGACAGATGAGAAGTTTAAAATTACTGACATGTAAGGAGGGAACATTTTCTCAGTTTCTCTCCTTTAACTCTTCCTTTACCTGCTGCTTTCCCCACCCTTTTTGTGGCTTAGGTTGCAAAGGGTTGGGAAGACACAAACAGCTTCAAATACGAGATTAAAATCTTGAATCTGTCAGGAGTGACATAACATTCAGTACTTGGAATATCACTTACTTAAAATCCTCTGAAATCAGTTTGCATGGTTGCCACTGTTTCCTTTGTGTACGCATGGGCTGTACTGACAGATCAACTGAACTTCCATCCATTTTGGATAATTTTTTGTTACAGGCTGTACCTGTCAAGAAGTGTATTTTGACAGCAGATATTTCCTCAAGGTCCAAATCTGTGCATGCATTTCAGTAGGATTTATATGTAATGTCACTTTTTCTGATTTATTTTAGTACTGCAGGATGGAACATTTTACAAGACAATTGAATTAATACTGTTAAGTATTGCTTGGCTTTGCACAAAGCCTCTGACTAATTAGTCATGGGATATCTTCCCCTACCCTCCTTGTTTTGAAACTTCCTCACTTCGAAAATTGAACGGCCTCTTGTGTTTGACCTTTTGTTCCAGCTGTACAAAGGTTGTAACCGCACTGCAGTGAAATCTAGGAAACATATAGATAGTCTTATACCTTTGTCTCGCATGTAGGAAAACCAAAATTCATCTCATGCTTTCTCCCAGCTACTAGAAACAATACAAAAAGAAAATACAACACACAGAAACCAATCCCACTTCAAAATTCCTGTTTCCAGTTGTGACAAATTATGCCAGTGTTTAAAGTCTGTGGCATTATGTAAGATGTGTTTTCTAGGTTAATGCATTAAAAACAGATAATGTGATTAGCCCAAAGAGAATGTGGATATTAGTTAGCTTTCTTGTCCCAGATATGTAGCTGCTAGAAATCTTGTCTCAGTTTTTGCTGGAGCCAGAATGCATTAAAAGGGCACACTCATAAAGCAATCTAATTAGTACAGCCAAATAAATATTGGAAATCAAGGGTGGGGAAGGGGGAAAGTGGTGGAAGGATCCTTACATGTTTTTGTTTCTGTTCTGTCTTCCAAACGCTTGTGCTGAACTCCCAGAACAGCATGTGTACCTTTCCTTTTTCCTAGAGGACCATACTGTGCTCTTAGGAGCTTACTGATATGCTCAGATAGCTGAGGGACCAAAACTGGTCTGCTCTCAACTGGCTTGAAGCACAAGTGCGGCTAGTAGGCATTTGCTTGCATTTCACTGGGTAAAACATGCAATTATAATTGTGGCATGTAGATGCATATGTTTATATATGTATATGCATGGTTTATGTAACTGATGGGAAAACACCCTTGCATTCACTTTGAATATACCTAAATATAGTTCTCAAACTTTCATTTGTAATAGCCATGCTTACAGGAATGAAGGTAACCACTTTTTAGTTATATTCCTGAAATGCACCTCTCGTAATACTTATCACCCATTCTGCATTGCTCTTCCACACTAAATAAAATGTCACACCATATAGCTCATTCCTCTGTTGCCCAAAGTTGAACGTGCTTTCTCTACCCCAGCTACACAATGAAGCTTAACACTACGCATAATTATGA